GACGGACATAGCTGGATCCCCGACCCCTTCTTTGATTAAAAGGAGTGTATGCATACAAACTGAAATGTATCTTTTAAGTAACACTGAAAGGCTAATCATTAAATCCCATAGCAGATTCTATGAAGAGGAGGACAATGTCATGAAACAGTGCAGATGGACCCAGTATTCAAGGTGAAACAGACAGTGGGAAAGTTCAAAGCGTTTTTACTTAAACAGGTAAGTGACCACGATCATCTAATGGGAGATGATTACCTGTGAGTCACTTACTTGGTTAAACAGTTCAATCCATCCGGGGCAGGACTGCCAAACGAGCTGCGGCGCAGAGCCGCCAAGAATGTCCCCGATGCAGCAACCCCAGTTAGCAGGCAGGGATCCGATCCAGGTCAGGGTATACAGATCAGACAGGAACAGTTCAGGAATCCAGGAGTCCGCAGCCCTGTCAGGGGTTCTGATCCACACAGGAACAGACAGTTCCAGGGTTCCAGGAATCCACAGTTAAGTGTGAATGTGAAGTAGAGTTCAGAGTTCCATGAGTCGAGCTGACCAAAGACAATTCAGGCAAACAGATCAGATGGGAACAAGCATGCTCAGTGGTAGAGAGGTAGAACAGGATCTGGTAATCAATAACAATTAAGAAACGCTGAAACGCTCTCACCACTGGCTAGGGAATAAACTCGCCTGATGACAGTGGCTCGTGAATAATCTCCTCACTGGCTAGGGGACATGAACCCTTTAACAAACTCAAACTAACTAAATAAACATACAAACATCAAACATGAATAACTAAGATGATCTGGCCCCGATAGCTGGGCTGAGCCGAATATAAAGGAGCAGATGCAGGTGGATAAGATGAGCGATAATTAGAAACTGGACAGAGTTAGGCAGGTGAATGACATGGACAGTAAAGCTCAGCAATCAGGGCCGATCATAACAAACAACCCATCCATAATATTAGCTAGATGACTTATTCAGAAAGCTACATCCCGTAATATATAGCAAATTATAACACCTGATGGCTCCTCGATCTATTAACAGCTGCTTTAAAGAGTAATAATGTAAATTATATTCTTCAGACTCAATACAGAAAAAAAACTAATTAACTTTTTTTTTTTTCAAATCTGAATATTCCAAAAATTAACTCAGACTCTAAAAAGATCAAATCTGATACTAGTGGAAATTAATAATGCTATAATGTCCCTTTAAAGTGGAAAAGCCCCTGGAATGGATTAGTTTCCAACAGATTTTTACAAAAAAAAAAAATTTCAAAGATATACTTGCCCCTTCTTCATACTGAAGCTTTGGAAAATAACTTTCTAACTACTAAAAAGAAATATGGACCCTCAGGATTGCTGTTGTTTTAGACCAATTAACTTAACAAACAAAAGAGAGCTGGTTTAGGAGGACCAGGCTGGATTTGTCCATGGTGACAAATCCTATTTAATTTGATATCTACACTCTGAACCGAACACATCATCTCCAAGCAGTAAAATGCTGATAAAGCCGGGTATACACTATACGATTTTTTGCCCTTTTCGGGCCAATTCTCCAGTCGTGCGAGATGTTTTCAAATGGGTGTATGTAGTACAGGGGGTAACGAGGGGCGATTAGCCTCTCACGACCACCTCCCAATCAGGAATTGTAAGGGTGGGGGGAAAATCGAACATGCATGAAATTCAGTCGGCCTTCGTAAGGTGTTTGTGGGCAAACACCTTAGCTCTACGAGCAGAGCTGTAGCTGCGTGCAACGATTGAAAATATTGCCCAGTCTATGCCCGGCTTAAAGCGTAGAGTGGAGATAGCTTTTTTATCCACTTGGCAGGTTTGGTTTTAGACCTAATTTCTCATGCCGATGCTTATCACACATCACCTTCTGCACTGGTTAATGTTTTTGTTTTGTTTTCTAATCCAACGGTATCTGTCCCCTTGGCACACTTAGGGTCATTGCCTTTTCTTCCTTATTAGCTCAGCCCTCGATTTTATTCAAATGGAAGGCAGCTACTCCCTCATCTCATCCTCACTGGATAAGAGGCATTAAGTTAAACATTAAACTGGAAAAGATTAGTTGTACTCTCAATGGGTCCATCAACACATTCCACAAAACCTGGGAGTCTAATAACATTTGTGAACTATCTATCTATCTTAGGGTGGGCTGGTAGGCTGGTTCTTACTGTTTGTGTTGTTGTTGTTTTTTTTGTGGGTGTGATCTTTGTCTATTGATGGTGCTGTCTGGTATAATTATCCGTAATACAGTAAATATGATTGTTTTGTATAGGACTGGAACAATTAATCAGATTAATCGATTATTGAAATAATTGTCAACTAATTTAGTAATCGATTAATCTTTAGCTGGATTATAGAGACTCTATAACAGGCCTTTAGCTAGCAGAGCAACCCACTTAGAGCAGTATTTATACCAAGATTTTTATATAATATATTGTCGCTGTCGGACGGAAACCTCGTATGTCCAAAACCATAAAGTTTACAGGAAATTGTAAAAACGCTGTGTTTTTTTAGAAAAATAAACATTTTGTTATCAGAGTTGGTACTATATCTTTACTCACTGTTCTATATTTAAATGTATCACTTTTTGAATACTGCTTCCCCCAAGTTATATTTAAATGGATTTATGAGGTTTTTGACTTGCGACTTGTAGAGATGCGAGTTCCATCAGTACCAATGCCGCCGCTGGCAAGGTTGATAACTGACTTTTTTCTTTTTTTCTTTTCTTTTTTTTTTTTCTTTTAATTGGTTAATATTTTCCAAAACATACGTTCACATGTGGGGACTGACCAATGGTATCAATTTATGAAAAAAAAAAAAAGTCCAAAATGGGAGTTACAAGGTTTTTTCCCGACAGCGACGATATACAATTTTTGCATTTAAGATATAAAAAAAAAAAAAAACATTTGTCTGTCAGTATGCTCTATCCAGAACTCATCAAGTTAAAAAGTTAGAGTTTCCCCTGGTTTTATTTTGTTAAAAGTCTTATTTGTAAAGTTTTTTTGGCTTTCTGATTATGAATCACTCAATCGAAAAAATAAGTGACAGATTATTCGATATGCAAAATGAACATTAGATGAAGCCCTAGTTTTGTATGTTTAAGGAAAATCCCAAATATAGTGTTAAAAAAAAATGTTATTGGCATGGACCTTAAAAACTCTGGTAGATCTCTAACAAATATTGAGCCATAATTTGACAAATAAAATCCTGAATCCAGCCTATGCTGCTTAAAATATGAATAGAAACATCACTAGGAAACCAAGTCTAACAGTTCATAATGCATTGGCAAAAAATAAATTTAATGGAGGGAATAAAAAGACCATTGACATATATGGAGATGTAACGCTATCATTTAAGGACTGGGTATGTTGCTCTAACATACTGTCAGGCTGTTGCAAGATGAGATGTACATTTCTGTCTTTGGTATAATCCAACAATCAATACTCGGAGAGATTTTGTGCAACTAGAAACATTTCTAAATGGTGTTTCTGTTTGTGGTTGCCTGTCTACATTAAAGTGTGAACAATCTTGACCAGGCTCTTGGATCATGGATGTAATTTTGGGCAGGGAGCAATCGGACATGTTCCCTGCAATTTTTCAAAACTCTGTTTTGTTCCCCTGCACTTTTACTGTCCAAAAGCCATGTTACGCTACAGTACAGCAACATAGGTCAAGCTCTAGGACCTATTGGAAACTGCAGCTCAAGCTGAAGCTCCCTTCCCTAAGTTTAGACCGCCCACAAGCTCCTGATTGGCCAACTGTCTTTTCTTGTGTGATTGGCTGTCACCGCTGTCACTCCTGAGAAGCTCACTTTACAAAGATCTGATGCGCTACTGAAGCGGGCCTTTGAATGGATGGTCACACACCCTGAAGTTAGTTATATTAAAATGTACTTGGTCCAATGCCACTTCAGAAATCAAAATTTCATCCATGCTCTGGATCCGTTCATGGTTCTGCTCTAACTTACATCTGTTACTAACTTACTATGGAAGTAGTCTTAATAAATCATTAATCGGGGTGTGCTTTGGTGGAGTAGTGGTTAGCGCACACTACCCATGTACGGAGGCTTTAGTCCTCGACATGGCAGACCCTGATTCGAATCCGACCTATGGTCCTGTTCCGCATGTCTCTCCCCTCTCTCATACCCCCTTTCCGCCTTTCAGCCTACTGTCCAGAAAACGAGCCACCAGTGCCATTTTTTGGTAATCAACACATTACTCCATAGTGGATTATTTGTTTACACCCCTACTATAAGGACGAGCTGCTTCTGTTTATACCAGAACCCTTCTGATCACACATTGTGGACCAGTTGACACCACTTAATCATTTCAGATTTTTCAGTCTGAAGACAGTACGACAGTACAGCCCGATTCCCAGCTGATCTTCTTCCAGTAAAACCTGCACCCTAAAGTGCCTACACATACAGTCTTGTATACATGTTTTACTTAGCCAGTCATCTTATTCTACCTCAAACCCGTTCGTCCATTTCAATTTGTATGTTTTCTAAAGCTTTGTTGGGCTACTGTATAGGAACCTTGAACTCGACGCTGTTCCTGACAATTTCAATTGAAAAAGCTTGCTGGATGGGAAGCAAAATGTCTTCAAACTTGGAAACAAAGTCCAGTGGTTGTTTTTTTTTACTTTTTTGTAACACCTAGAGAACAGTGCTGTCCCGAGACGGTGTGAGAATATCGTCACAATGCTTCCAGTTATCTTGGAACATTACCCAGAGCTGTAATGTCTGAGTTGTTTTTTTAGAAAGTTTGTTAAATAACTTTCTTTAAGGATACAAGCAAACTAAACTGATTTATTTTTTAAAAGCTTTCCTTTAACTTAAACCTAATTTAATCTGTACAAACATATTGAATGAATTCTTCATTGTCATTAGATGTTTTACAAAGATTAAGGCATAAATTCTAAGCTGTCCTCCCCTCCAAGACTGATACAAAATTCCCTCCATACATGTTGTTGTTCATACATGTATTCTGTCTGTCTCTACAGGTGCAGGTGTGGGACACGGCAGGCCAAGAGCGCTTTCGCAAGTCCATGGTGGAACACTATTACCGCAACGTACACGCAGTGGTGTTTGTTTACGATGTAACCAAGATGGCTTCCTTCCGTAACCTGCAGACATGGATAGAGGTTAGCATTTAACTGGAAAAGACAACAAATTTGTTTGTGTTTTAAAAGCAGAATGCCTAAACTGTGTAGCCTTTGTCATACCAAGTTACTTTAATTAGTAGCACTTAATGTTCACACACTGTATGAAAAAACCTTAAGCTATTTATTCCTCACTTTGACACTAATTCCCCAAATTATTTATACATTATAATTAATTAGCTGTTATGACTCATGCTAGGCAAAGAGTGATGGTAACAGAAACTGTAGACAACATAACCATGTCAGGGTTGGGTTGAGATTTTGAGGACCCAAATGCAGAGGTGAGGAGGCAGAGGTGAGTCTTTGTAGATTTAACAGATAAACGGAGGAAAAAATCCAAAAACCAAAGTACAAAAATACTAGGAACCAAAAACCAGACAGCTTCTAGGGAACACTCACGTGGCGAGCCGGGAAAAGATGAGGAACCAGCCCTGAGGAACTGCACAGGGAGAGTTTATATAGGAGACGGAACAAAGACAGGACTAATGAGCCGATTGGGAGCAGGTGTGAACAGAGGAGTCTAGAAAGGAGCTAGGGAAAAGGAGACAAACACTAGAGGGCAACAGAGGGCAATCAAGAAATAACTAAGAACTCAAATACTTGCAGAAAAAACACAAAATAGGAATTGAACCAATATAAGAAAAACATGGATCAAAGTGAAACTAAAAACTCAAAACAAAACTTAACAGAACTAGGACCGTGACAAACCAGACTTGGCAAAGTTGCTTTAAAAATTGAACTGGTTACTGGTTATTAACTAATTTACTGTCCGATCAAAGTAACTAGTTTCCTTTTTAAGTAACTATGCTTTTACTTTTTATGATCTAGAATATCAAAGATTTTTATCTGACCTGTTATCCAGACATCAAACACAATGACTAAATACAATTTTGGTCACTTTTGAATTTACGTGGTGCTTTCACATTCGTGGTAGTATTAGACAGACTCTACAAAACACACTATTGGCTCAGGTAGTGCAGCTCATCCAAGATGGCGCGTCAATGCGAGCAGTGGCAAGGATTGCTGTCTGTCAGATTGATAGCTGGTCCAACTTCACGAGTTGTTTTCTGCTTTCGCAGTCATAAAAACAAAACAAGCCTAGAGTAGAGCGGAAATAGATTTGACCAATCAGAGGCCTCCTCTCTGCGGTACTGTCTGCGGTCATCTACAATTTTGGAGAGGTGCAGCAGACTGTCTGCGGAAGGGGCAGCGACGTCTCTGCGTTCACTGCGACACCTACGCAGATGACCTGGTTTCGAAGTATAAATCAGCCTTAAAACCTCCAGGACAGTGGCCTTTGGGGATGACTGTTCTAGAGCAAGACAGCAATAATGTGGATATGAGTTTTATCCACTAAAACTGCGTAAATATTGGGTGTACAGCCACATACTTGCACTTATTGTGTATTGTATCTTTTTTCCTCCTCCAATGTTTGTACAACATTCTGTGATTGAGTGAAACCTAAGTCAAATGTCCTATTTGTTTACACAATCATTGCCAATAAACCAGTTTCCAATTCGGATCATTGTGTTCCAATCTGTTGCAGGAGTGCAACGGCCATCGGGTGTCGGCATCAGTGCCTCGGGTTCTGGTGGGGAACAAATGTGACCTTGTTGATCAAATCCAGGTTGGTGAATGCAAGCTAAAGGTTTTCGGCATGGTTTCAGCACCAAGTGTCACCCATACACCGTTGCTTCCCACAGGTCCCCTCCAACATGGCATTGAAGTTCGCTGACTTACACAACATGCTGCTGTTCGAGACGTCAGCGAAAGACCCAAAGGAGAGTCAGAACGTCGACTCCATCTTCATGTCGCTGGCCTGCCGCCTGAAGGCCCAGAAATCCTTACTCTACAGAGACGTGGAGCGAGAGGATGGGAGAGTGAGACTCACACAGGAGACGGAGACAAAGACTAACTGTCCGTGTTGAGGGAGAAGAGGACGGGGAGTCACTCTGGGAGAGAAATGAGCGCAGTAGCTTACATAAACAGGAGGCTTAACGGAAACTTTCCTGGTTGGAAATGACAGGGAAGGTTAATGATAATGCTAGTCATGTTAGAGGGGTGGAGGATAATGGAAACATGAGTTTTAACTGAGATATCAAAAGAGTTCTTGCTGTTGAACATAAACGAGGGATTAGGAGTGGCTTGTCATGATGATGCTGCCTTTTACACTCGTTATTGTGAAAATTCTTCCACTGACTTTCCTAATAATGCTGTATCCTCTCAATCCTATCTTTTACCCTATATTTGCTCTAATTTCACCTGAGAACCGGACTTCTCAGCCCTTTTTCTACTGCTTTAATAACAAACGCTGCCTGACTCGTAACCTTCACAAACATTTAGAGTATAGAGCACCAAGGCCACGGCTAAGCCATCAGACATCCCGTTTGAGCGGATTGTTTGGAGGATTCGATCTCTGCTCACCTTTCACATCTGAGAAGAAGCAAATATAAATAGAAGGACGATACCCGAGGGGGGGCCTGTGCAGAAGCACCTTGACAAGGTTTCCTAAAGCAGACCCTTAATGGGTTGCCTTGTAGCACATCGCCTATTGATTTCAGAGATCCTTTTACCCCCATATGTTCTCTCTAACGCTGAGCTTTTCCTTTCCCCTCTACTGCTGATTTAAACATATCCTCATAATGTTTTTTGCCTATGAGTATTTGAGTATCTTTATTCTCCTTATTCTGTTTAATCAGGTGCCTTGCAAAATTACTTCACATTTCTCCATCATTTACTATTTTTGCCATGTTACAACCAATACTGTGAGGCATGTGGTTGTGAAGAGGGAGGATAGATTATCCTTTTTCATACATAAAGTATGGCTGACATATTAAGTATGGAGGGTTAAGAAGGACATAAATCCCTGAAATACATAAATGATACTTATTATGAAATTAACACATGTACCATTGAAAGTGACAATAAATAATTAAATGTACTGTTTATTTATTTAACATGTCATTAAACAGTTAAATGTACCATTAAAATGTAATGTGTATTTAATAGCGCTGGGTAAAAAAAATGATTTAATCAATTTTGGATCGATTCCTTTACATTTTTGCTAAATTAATGCATAGGGAATGAAATCGATTAGTTTTAGAGTGACATTCACATTCAAATGAGCAGGGGCTTGCAAACGCCGACCAAAGTAACACACCGCTCAGAAGGCTGTCCCAACTGAAGTCTGGAACCATTTTGGATTGAAAACTGCTAAAGATAATGTGCTGGATATGAAACATTAAGGTGACTTCCCTCTACATTGATAATGAGTGGCACCTCGCATCTCGTGCTACGGACCACCAAGATAACTTCAAGCCAGACAGCTGCAAACATAGCCAACAGTTTGACTGAAGGCATTAACAAATGGGGGCTGACCAGAAGACACCCTGTAGTTGTTACAGACAATGCTGCAAATATGGTTAGTGCAGTGGAGGTAATGCAGCTCATGCATGTCGACTGTGTCCCCCACTGTGCTTGCTCGTGCAAGGCTTCACTTTTCACAAACAAGTTTGCACTTTTGAGACAGTTTTGTTCACATTTCAAGTTTAAACTGTCTGATTATAAGTTTGCACTTAATGTTTAATATGACAGGAAAAAAATTAAATACATGAGTATTTTGAAAGACAGGTGAACCAATTTTATTATTTTAAAAACAGATTGAATCGAAATTAATCGATTTAGAACTGTAGGAAACAAAATCGAATCGATTCATTACTTTGGCAAAAATACCCAGCCCTAGTATTTAAATTAAAAATTTAATAAAATTTATTACATTAACGATTAAATTATGAGAGCAGGTGAGCCGGTGTTGGTCAGTGGGCGGGGCTAATGTGGATTCTGCTGAGATGCTGGAGTTGCTCACCTAATATGTTGGAATTAATTTGCAACACAGCCTGGCGTCAGTGATAATATGGACTTCAGTGTAAATGAAACTTAAGAAGAAATTTTCTTGCTCAATGAGAAGCAGCCAATCAGATGTCAGGGTTTCTAAGAAAGCAGCGCTAGTCCCGCCCACTGAGTTCCATAGTTGAAGTTGAGGTTTTGAATGATTACATAATTATGGAAGAAAAACAGCCTCATTGGAATCTGCTTGTTTTTGTGCACCACTGAAGTTTTATTAACATTGAATTTCTTACACTGATTTTTTATCTGGTAAAAAATTGCCTGCGAGAAATTCAGCTGCAAGAAATTAATCTGCAAAGAATCGACTGCAAATGTGTTGACCTTTTGGCTTATTGGGCATAGCTTTGTTCCTAGATGAATGAAGCTGAATAAGGAGTTTTTCTTGTTAAATAGATAAGATTATAAAACGTCAGGTAGCTACTAATAGACAGCCATTAGAGTGTTTCATCTAATTGGACTGGGTGAAATAACGGAGCCGATCACAGCTAGTGTGGCACCCCTGTCTGCTAAAGCTCTTGGTTTGATCTGGGAGAAGTGGCCGAGAAGTGGAATCTTTTTTTTTCCTGACCAAATAGGCTAATTTCATTGGCTAGAAGCTGTTTGACTGCATCGAGTGTAGATTGCTTTGGCTTAATTTCACCAAAAGGTCAACACATTTGCAGGCAAATGTTTTGCAGCTCAATTGTTTTGCAGGGGAATTTTTTGCAGCTATAATTTTTACTCGATAAAAATTCAGTGTTCAGAATTTAATGTAAAAAAAAAATTCAGTGTTTAAAATTTGGTGTACAAAAAAAGGCAGATTCCAATGAGACTGTTTTTCTTCCATACATAATGAAAGATACATTTCATAATTCCATGGTACATTTCAGTGTTTAATGATGTACTAAAGGAACAACGAGTACATTGAATCAAGTGGAACATTTATTCATAATTTTTATGTTACACTTAATTATTTTATAGTTCTTTATTTCATAACTCCCGTTTATACAATGTGATATTTATGTATTTATTTGATTTTGTCCCTCCTAACCCTCCGTAATTTAGTACTAAACCCACTTTACTGTGAAAAAAACAGAACAGTGAAATCAGTTTTCTTGGAAACTATGTCAAATAAAATGGGATAAAATGTACTGAATAAAATCTCTGCATCGGCTAATGTTTCATTTAAGGCTGGTATGTTTGACTAGAAAATCAAAGCACATTTCTAATATAAATGGCTTTAAACGCTTTCATTAGGTGGTTTTTCCAAAGTAGAGGCTTACTGAGGTAACTTCCCATATACTCGTCAGCCTCCAGTTTCATACGGAGCAGCAAAGAGAACGTCGTCCCTAGTAGCATAGGTCACACCCAATGTAAACAAATCTATCCAGACGAGTCAGGCTGCATAAGAACTACCCACTGAGCCATATTGATTATTTGCTGCTCACCGAAGAGCAGGTTTATGCTTAGAGAGCTTCACGTTTGGCTGCAGGCAGAGGAACACAATTTACCTAGAAGAGCATCAATCAGTGAAATTTGTTGCCCGTTTTCTTTAATCACTGTGGCCTACTTTTCACCAGGCACTATTAATACATCAAGATGAAGATTAGCCAGATTGGTTTGGGATGAATCTTTCCTTCCCTCAAGGCTGGTGGTTTGATTAACTTGTTCATTTAAGGCAACAAGTGCAGATCTCTAATTGTTTCTGAGGTCAGAGCTCACATTCAGACTTAATAACAAACCTGATTGTAATAAAGTTGAAAGCAGGGAAACCCCTCATGGCTAAAAGAAATGGGTTTTATAGATAACCCAAAGGAACTACAATCAGATCTACAGCGCAAACTGTATGACCGATTACAAATATTTACTATTATTACTCTCATGTATTTCCTCAATTTTTAGAGTCCATTTCTACAAAAATGCAATCATTGCTTCTCATCTGCTCAACTATTCACAATGCTTCGTTATGAGAAACGTACGGAAGACGATTAGGGCCACTGATATAATACAAAAAAGTTACCTGATTTTTAAACTTTTTTTGTCTGAGAAAAAAGTCAGAATTCTGAGATTAAAGTCAGAATTGTCTTTTTTCTCATATTATACTGAAATAAAATTTAAAAATCAGATAACTGTTTTTTATTTTTTCAGTGGCCCTAATCCTCTTCCGTAGAAACGCAAACAGGAACAAAATGGAACTAAACAATTGTTAATATCTGCCAAGCTTTAGGATTTAACCACCAATTGCAATGAGTTTAAATAACATTGGCGGTCACCATTTCATCACCTGTGCAATGCATGCTGGGTTGACGACGTTTTTAGGTTCTGCTGTACTGGAACCACTAATCTCTATTTATTGTCTGGTTATCCGATTGGCCATTGGTAGTACACATTGCCCTGAAGTCACCAGTCACCATATTGGTGCTCCCTTGTTGGAATGTGAACAATACGTGCGCAACAGCATCGAACAACAAAGATTTTCTCATTTTCAGGGGGGCTTTAGACTTTTAAAATAATGATAAAGTCATCACTTTGATGCACACTTGCTGTTTCATTGCATCAGTAGATTACCGTAATTTATGATAAATAGGCACATCACATTGCTTAGTCAGTATGAAGTCAATAAAGTCTAGAAATCGTGCAATATTACGTATACAAATCCATCACAGAAAAATTTGTGTTAATGGAGCATAATACTGTACTTAGATATTAATATTACACAAACACACACTGTCAAAAGTGCTAAATTGATGTTCATGTAATGATTACATTGTAATTACATATAATTTCAAGATTTTACATCAATGCTGAATTACAATACATGTCTGTTAATGCTACAGTATTTTTCTATTTGCAAGTTGAGCAAGTATGATGCCGAAAACTTTCATGCTGTTTCTGCGCATTAGCCTTTAAATATGACAGATTTACAAAAGAGTTAATGATCCAATTTAATAACTGCACATAGTTTAGTTTCTACACTAACAATATCACATAAATTGGCAAAATAGCAGAAAACATCAAATTCAAATTTTGCTTTCTGCTCATATTACAACAATTTGAGAATTTGCATATAGTATAGATACAAGTATGTATGCACACATGTACACAAACATACACATTATCCAGTGATGGAACACCTTTAATAATGTAAGTTGCACATTTAGTTCATATTCAGAATGAAATATACATACATATGTACATAAAGTATATTCCAGAAAATAACTTACATTCCAGTAACATAATAAAAAAAATATCAAAATGGTGTTTGCTTACATTTGTTCTTCACCACTCTGCCCATAACCTCCAATGGAACACCGCTGTTTGCATCTTTCAGGAGTTCAACACAGTTGTCTGAATTTAATCGTCTCTTTTTCAGTTTATCAACAACCTTTTCAGTGATTCAATTTTCTCCTCCAGTCGCCTCGATTTCTGCTGCGTGTACTTCAGTTTTTTCTTTGTTGATTCCAGGGCGTTCAAAGCCACATCTAGCTTCCTTTTTAAGATGATGGGACTATCACTCATGGAGTAAACGTGTTCTTTCTGCACTACTGCATCCCCTGTCGTGCACGAGGAACTTCCTTCCTCCTGGTCAGGATGCGGAGCCGGTGTTGGTTCTGGTTTTATCTGTCTGGGCGCCGGATCTTTCCTGGGAGGCTTTGGAGTCTGAAACAGAAAATGTTTGTTAAGTATCCAATGTTAAATGTCACCATGTGTTAAGATGTATCATATTGTTCTATTTGCGTATGCAAGAGAGTTTATTAATAGCTGGTGAATGGGAATAAAGAAGAAGTTAATGTTTTCACCATTATGGGCAACATTAATATCAGGGGGAAATGCATGACCACAGACAGCATCATATGTTTATTAGCATGTACTTCTTCAATGTATCTGCATGTGTGTGTGTGAGAAATGAATATACCTTCTGAATACACTTTGGGAAGTTGAATAAGGTTGGAACTGCACTTTCCCTGAGTCGGACCGTCTGGCCAGTGTGGTCAAAGCATGCCTCCTTAAAATGCTCCGAGCAAAGCACAGATTTCTTGGATGGCTGCCACTTTTTCCTTCTCACATTCTGCACCCACTGTTCCATCCGTGCAGCATCACTGTGTGGAAATCTGCAATCAAGCAAAGCAATATACATGTAGATAAGTATATATATCTATACAGTAGCAGACATTCAAAATGGCCTTTGTGTCAGATACCAGCCAACTTTCAGCCACTGGAGTGACCCCCTTCTTCTCCTGGACGTGCATGTTTTTTACTCTGTCTCCACCCTTCAGTGAATTACAGGTTCTAAATAGGAGATGGCGCTTCTCTTTAGATCCCAATGTCCACAAATCATGACAGAAAAAATATATTTTAGTAGAAAGATTGATGTTTGAAAAGGAATTGTAGGGGACCAGCCAGGGACCGATCAAGAAAAGTGGGGACATATTGGCTATGTTCACACTGCAGGCCTTGATGCTCAATTCCGATTTTTTGCATTGTCGTTCATATTTCCAATTATATGCGATTTGTATGTGATCTCCTGTGTGAACTGCAGTCATACAACGCAAGTTTCCCGCATGCGCAGTAGAGGATGCAATGACGTCACAAGCCAGCATCCTCTTTTTTTCAAGAAGTAAACATAACCATAAAAACTCAATCTTTTCAACATGGTTAAACATAAATACTGCTCTCTGCATCATCATTCACCATTGTTGTTTTTCTTGCCTCTTCTGCATAGCAAGACGCAGAATAGTGACCTTTGTCAGGTATTAATGGCGTTCAGGTCGGATGAATGCGACCTGGCGGTTTAGACACAGGTCGCATTTGGAAAGATCTGATTCGTATCGGATTCAGAACCACATAGCCAAGTGGCCTGGGTTCGGATTGGAAAAAAATCGGATCTGTGTTGTTCAGACTGAAATGAAAAGATCAGATCCAGGTCATATATGGGCAAAAAAATCGGATTTGGGTCACTTCAGGCTGCAGTGTGAACGTAGCCTTTGATTGGCTACTACTGTGTGTGTGTATTTGTCAGAGCATGTGAGCGGAGCGGAGGAAATATGGTGGAGCACAGAGCAGTTTTCAATTCAAAGGCCAGAGTGAGGATTTCGCTCCGACTTTATTTAAATTCATGCTTGATTTAAAACCTACACCAATAACTATGCTGTAGTCTGTGCCTATAATCTGTTATAGTCTATGTTTCAACTTTAGCACGGAATCGCAGAGACGAGGATTGCATATTGTGTGATAAAAAGTGGGATAAACTATCATAAAAACATACACTAACTAAACAATACAGAGTGGGTTTACATAAAGTGATCGTTGTGGTAAGAGCCTGTTATTGAAAATGGATCACATAAAACGCTATTATCTCATTTGCAATGGGATGCAAAGGGACCTTTTTTAATGTAGTCTAGTAAAATAAATGAATGATTAAATAGGAAACGCAGGCAACATCAGTGTAACGTCAGCTGAACTGTCACTAAGACATTATTTGGGTCGCTATTCATTGCCTACATAGCAGCTACATGCTTGGAGGAGAGACACACAGCAGCACTCAGGGAATTTAACCAGCAGCTACTTCAATATATGTTTAAATAGAAGTTAGGAGACGGGATGGTTAAAAAAAACTAGAGATGACAACGAAAAATCTGTTAGATACTGAGCTTTTTGAGCAAAAGGCGGCAGCAGATTATTAGTTTAAACAGGTTATGAATATAATGCAAGAAGCTTGAGGAAACATAGTTTAAATGTTGTGTTCTTTACCAATACAAATAAAAGCTGGGCTTCTCAGAGGACCATGACTCCCAGTCACAGGTTAAAAGTGACACATATCTGTTGTTTTCTTATTGAACAGAATCAGACTGCAGAGCGTCTAGATATCTTAAAAAATTAGTTTCTCTGATATCATTATAATACTAACCATGTTCATAAATCTGTTTTTATGCAGAGAACAGACACAAGCAGGGAGAGCTGCAGATTTAAAGGGTAAACCGTTTAATTGGGATATGCAACATGCAATAATATATCTCCCAAAGTTAAGATGCTATGCTATTCTAAAATTAAATTAAACATATATTTTTTCTTTTGTAATTCGGCAAGACTCTGAATAGCTGTGCCAGCCAACCCAGAGACAGCCAGACTTACAGTACGCAGATTAAAATACAGGAAACCTACAAGGATTAAAGCAATAATAGAGTAAAATCAGTGTATAAATGATTTTAAAAAAATATATCCTTCAATACATACACTTTGGATGTTAACAATATATGGGTCAAATTTTAAATTTGATTTTGCGGCTGGTAGAGGAAGATAATCACTGATGCATCTTAAAGGGAAACCATCCATGCATCCATGAAAGAAAGAAAGAATTCATGTTTTTCAGCCCTTTATAAATAATGCACTAAGAGGCATCTGTCTAACTACCAACAAATATAAATACCAGTTTATTGTGGTTCTCCTGCCTTAGGGGATTATTGGCCTAGTGGTTGGAGCAGTGTGCTTGTGCTCTGAGAAGGTTGCAAGCACCAGATTCAATCCCCACAGCCTGCACTCTGGGTCCCTGAGCAAGACCCTTAAGGGCTGGTTATCCTCCCACAGCAGTGTGTTGCAGAGATTTTTCATTTATGCCCAATATTGAAGCGTGGTCTTAGCTATGTTATTCAACGCAGGAGGGACAATCAGGAACTAGCTGTGGGTCTAGATATGGCCGAGGCGAAGAGGAGGTGGGGGCAAGTTTGAGCGACAACGGAGGGACATGAGGGGTAAAAAGAGCGGGGATCCAGGTGGAAAAAGGGTCCCAGAGTTCTCCCGCACCTCGCTCTTCTAGCTGGTCCATCATCATCAGTCTTTTTCCACAGTGGCGGTCATACAAACTAAACAAGCCGGTAAGGTACCAAACAGGAAATGCGCATAGCGTAGAGCGGATGTAGATTTGACCAATCAGAGACCTCCTGTCTGAGGTCACCTTCAAGTTTGGAGAGGTGCAGCAGAGTGTCTGTGGAGGGGCGGGGAACGTCCCTGTGTTAACTGGGTCGCAGACGACCTGGTTTCTGAGCATAAACCAGCATTTAACCCCACACTGCTCCCCGGGGGCTGCACACACACAGCGGCCCACCACTCCCCTAAGGGATGGGTTAAATGCGGTAAATTTCTGCAATGTGAGATCATTAAAGTTAATTATTCTCAACAATAGGAAAACATTAAATAGATATATGTTGGAAATCATTTATGGAAAATTAAAAAACCTATTGAAAGCATTCCGTTCAAGTATCTGTAGATCCATCAGCACTGATGGATCTACAGTTTCATTAGTTTCATCAAAAAAACACACCCTTGTATGTGTGTACCTGTCTAGCCCTCAGAGTGAGGACCATTTTTTCCAATTTCACCATCTAATAGAGGACCAGTTGTTGCAAAGTGAGGACATTTTGCCGGTCCTCGCATGCTATTTTGCTAACGGTTAGGTTTAGGGCTGAGGTTGTATAATTAATTACCTGTGAAACGTCTTCCCACAGCCAGAAAACTGCTTGTTGTTGCAGCCAAATGCGACACAGGTCGGCATGTTTAAAGTTCACTCTGTGAGAGCAGGGAGTATCAAGATGGCGGCATGTGACGTCAGTGGCTGGAACCTGCAGAGTAAACAAAGGAAGGCTAACATTGGCAGTGCTTATTATCATATTGTGTTTAACTGCTGTAATTTTAGACAATGCAATGAGCCGTTATACATGAGATATCTACTGAAACAAACAAATGCGAACGGCTGAGATCTACTGGTTATTGTGTTTGCTGGGCTAACACCTTTAGCAGAAGCTAAAGAAGAACATGAAATCAGAGGATGATGACTGTTAAAGTGACAGCGCAGCAACTTCATTCATTGTAACTCGTCGCTCTAATATATCATAAAACATGTTATTGATCCTGATGCTAACCGCTAACAGCCTCAGCTGGAGCTCTTTGAACAATAGCTACCTAGCTGGGTTAGCGTTTCCTTGCAGCAGCTATGCAAACAGCAGCTTCTTCATCCAACTTTCCCTCCTTCCTCTTTTTGCTCCACCTAGTCTTCATCGCCTCTTTTGATTTCTACATTCTCATCGTTTTTAATGTATTCCAGTTCAAAATGACACGATTTAACCTCACTCAGTGTGATTTGGCTGGACAGAGATAAAGCTACAACACGTAGCTTATGTCATTTACCCAGAATGCATTGCCGTTTAAAGAGTATTTCTTCTTTTGTTTAATGGCGGTTGGCAAGCAACGTTTAGGTGCGCATTAGCGCCACCTTCTGAATAGGAGTGTGTATGGAGGACCAATCCTGCCAAATTAGAAATAAATACAGAAATAAATAAATGCTCCAAAAATAGATAAGCATACAATCAACCCCCCCCCCCCCCAAATACAAAAACAAATAAATGTAGGTAGAAATTAAATTATACATAAGGATCAGAATTTTGAACTTGCACAACATTTATTTTCATTTTGTATACATAGAATGTAAAGGAAGACATTTAAGTCCTGTGTGTCCCAGCCTGAACCTTGTTATAATATCCTGTTTCTACTTGTTTTTCTTACTTGATTGACCTTATTTTGAAATCTATTTAAATGTCTTCCTTTATGTTCTCTATGCCATTCTTTTTGCCAAATCTTTACTAGCCACATTTTTACTATAGATTTAATTTCTGCTTTACTGTATTTAAGTCCACTTGGTTCTTTTGTGCTGCTTTTGTAGCATAGAAGTCTGCCAGTTCATTCCGCTCCACTCCTATGTGCGCTGTAACCCATAACAAAGTGTCCTCCATCCCATGTCTTTTTATTCTGGTTACACTGTGAACAATATCAAAAATAAAATCTTGTCTAGATTGTGAATACATTTGTACCCCAGTCGGCCTCAGCAGATGGCCGCTCAAACTGAGCCTGGTTCTAGAGGTTTCTTCCTGTTAAAAGGGAGTTTTTCCTCTCCACTGTCGCTACAAGCATGCTTAGTGTGAAGGATTACCTTCGAGTCACTGAGTCGATGCAATCAACTGGTTTTCCTTTGATAGAAAACTTTGAATCAATTTGACTGTATGATCTGGTTGAACTGTAAAGGGCCTTGAGATGACATATGTTGTAAATTGGTGCTATAGAAATAAACTGAATTGAATTTCCTAAATACTAACCAGAGCACTGCTAGAATCTGAACAAACAATAATTGAGACAGGTTTTTAACAAAAGCCACTCCTACACTCTTCATCTAACTTTTTGACACGTCTGAAAATATCTGAAGTCTTTGTCTGTATTGTTTTCACAAGTAACCAATCATTTCAGTGGATTTTAATTTATTCAGTTTATTTATATAGCGACAATTCACAGATAAATTAGCTGTACTAGTTTTACTAACAAACTTTAGTAAAGGTTTTGGCTAGGAGCTCTGCTATAATCTACATTTTCTGTTATTAATGCTTCCCCATCTAGAAAGCCTTCTTCCACTCTATAAAGCTTCAAACTCAATGCTTTTTCGGACATTTTGAATTTAAAAAGCTTCCTGGATGGGAACCGAAACGTCTTCAAACTTAGAAACAAAGTCCAGTGGGTTGTTTTTTAATTTTCTTTGGAATGATCAGGACCTGGATGACTGAGAATCTTCACCAGTTTCTTCATCACTTCATCACTCAGGTTATCCTGAGCTATCGCTGTAGTCATGCTGCTATAGGTTTAGGCTGCTGGAGGACCTAACTTCCTGCTTTTACCTGTTTTCCAGTATTGCATTTTTAGCTGTTATTTCAGTGTTTACCTATGTTCTCTATTTTCCTTTTTTCATAGTAGCTTCATCTGGCCCTGCAATCTGTTCAGGGGTGATGTCATCATGGAGGGGAGGAGTTACTGGCAGCAACTTCATGTTCCTCTTCCAGAGATAATGCACTTAGTTCTATCTTTCAGGGTAAAATGTTTCCCTCTCCTAGACTGTGGTGCTGGCTGAGCTTCTGCTGCAGCTCAGTATATGTGCTTTTTCATCATGTAGACTTGAAAACTCAGAGCTCACCTGCTTAACTGTTTCTCTTCTAGAAGAAGCTACAGAAGAAGGTTATTTTACCTTTATACTGTTCTCTAAAATAAGCTGTGTTTTTCTTTGTTTGAATGGCCTGTGTTCCTTGAGTTTCTGCTGGATTCTTCTTTTTGGCATCAGAATGTAAGTGACAGGCTGCTGTCGCACTCCCAGGAGGAGTGAATACTGAAAGCCAAGGACTCGATGCAATCTGCTGGATTTTGTTAGGCAGAAAACTCTTTAAAGAAACCTGAATACTAACCTGAATTTGACCTGCAGTTCCCAACGCCCAATACTACTAACCAGTGGATGGAAAATCTCTGCAAAACATTTGTATGACCGGGTCTTAAGGTCACCGTGTGTTTTCATCACAGCACCGGCTTTGGTACAGTAGCACTTCCTATATTTGGAATTCAGAGCTGAATTGAAAACAATCTAAAAAAAATCTGATATCTTGCTGAAAGAAAAAAAAGTTCCAAAACAAAACAAAAAACATAACCAAATGTTAAAAAGTCTACGCTGTCAGAAACACACAGAGGTCAGAGATCATGCATTTCCAACATTAGATTACTGTTAGAAAAAAAATGGATCCTACAATTTTTTTGTATTGTGTACATCTCCAGAGAACAAGCCCTGTGGATATATGTAAAGAATCTCCCTCTCTGCATTATTTAGATATTCTCAGAAAAGGGGGAAAAAGGCAGGATTACATTCTACTGAGCATTTAATGCAGAGGTCAGGGATTAGTGGACCGGATCCGGACCCACCTGCTTTCTAATCTGGACCCAACCTGATTTAAAACATTTATAAATTACCACATGTTGTCCGACGGAAGCGTCTAACTTCACTTGCGCCGCTTCTACAGTTAATATGGTAAAGTCCTCTGGAGCGTCCAGCACCAGGTCACACGTGATACAAATGATCCAATGAGCTGCTGTCAGTCTGGGTTGCTGCTGCTGCTACTTTTAGACACAGCAGGCAAACCTGTGGCAAGCCGGGCGATGGGAAAGAAGGAGAAGATGATGAGAAAAAGAGAGCAGAGAAAGTGTGGACTGCTGGAAGAACTGTGGTGAACTGTTGAAAGAAAAGTGAAATAGTGCTCAAAGATGACCCAGAACATTTAGAGGATGTTTGGCTCAACCTGCTGCTGTGAAGCAGGATTGACAGAATCAAAAATAAATATGGATCCAGGCTCAAAATGAGCTTTAGAATGGCTTTGTCTCCATTTAAACCCAGGTCTAAAGCCTTGCAGGGCAGCATAAAGCCCACTGCTCTCATTAAGACAGAAAGAGGAAGAAACCCTTCCTGGTTACCCCTGGTTTAATGTTTATAAATATTTATTTCACGTCATGTGCTCCATCCAATGCAGATCATTGGCTCCATCCACATCTAGTGAAAACTAGTGTAATTGGATGAGTCATATAATGCAAACACTCATTGGTTAGCTAAAGGAAATAATCAGAATCAAGCAGGTGTTCTTCAAACTGCAAACGTGAATTGTCTATGCCATGCTACAATGTTGGATTCAGAAAAAGATGTTGAAATGTCTGAAAGGTCGAACACAGGCGAGAGCGTATCGGGAGATGGAGACCAACAAGACCTCCCTCATCCTTGGCCCTATCTCAGAGAATTTTTAGAAACGGTCGAAAAATTTAGCTTTAAAATCCATATAGTGGCATCTGGCTGTTTTTTAATGGTTACTTTATACTTTTTCACTTTTACTTGAGTAAAGAGGTCAAGTTGATGCTTCAACTTTTACCAGAGTGTTTTTAAACTGCAGTATCTATACTTCTACTTAAGTAAAAAATTTGTGTACTTTTGACACCACTGCTTTTTCTAAACAAATCTACTTAATATTCCATTTTTGTAGTGTGTTTTCAGCACAGGCAAGGTTATTATCGTTAAAAAACATTTTCTTTAACTGAAATTAAAATGAAATACTACAACTTGCAAAAAGATTGAAAATCAACTGAAACAGTAGAGTAAAACGAATTAAAATAAACTTAATTTTAAGAAGGCTGCTCAGTGGCACATTGCAGCAAGAAGGTCCCGGGTTAAATTCCCGGCCCGGGATTTTTCTGCATGGAGTTTGCATGTTGTCCCTGAGCATGTGTGGGTTCTCTCCGAGTACTCCAGCTTCCTCCTTCCTCCATTTTTTTCGCTGTACCGCATCATGCCATCGGAAGGCAGGTATAGCAGTCAGGTCATCAGTGATCTGGAAGGTTTTTCCTATTATTTTTATTTTCTAATCTTCTAATGAATAAAAACTTAACTGAAGCTAAGCATTTTCAAAAAACAAAAACTAGATATTTAAAACTACTTAAAACATAAATTGAATTGAAAATCAGAAAAAAAAAAAAATTCAAAACTATTTAAACCTTGGTCTGGGGCCCAAACCGGTTCTACTGGGGCTCTGGCTAGTGCTGCGGTGCTCGGTAGATGTGGGCCTTTGTCTCTGTGTCCAGCCTCCACTTGGATTGATTGCTTGGTGAAATAACAGTTAACTGGAAAATACAAAATATATTTCTATTTTCTTAGTTTTAAGTAATGATAAAACATCAAAGAACCATGAAGTTAAGAAAGGTGAGATGGAAGATATTCAAAGAAAATAAAGTTTGCAACAAGGGCTGCGACTACCGATACTTTTGCTAATTGATTGTGATGATAATTTTTACGATGAATCAGTTAATAATTGGATAGCAAAAGGCTCCTTAAAAACTATTTCTTTAAAGAACTGAACAAGGTCCAACTAAATCTCTCCCACCTGAGGAGTTCTGGATAAAAAATATTGACAGCTGAAATTTTTTTTCTTATCTTAAAGGCACAATATTTATATTTCATACAATTTTGGTATAATTCCTGCTCTAAATGGGTCACTCTCTCGCCTTAAGGCCTGTTTTAGAGTCTCTGTACTCCAGTTAACGATTAATCAATCACTAAATTAGTTGATGATTATATCAATAATCGATTAAACACTTTTAATCTGGTTAATTGTTTCTCCCCTGCATCTAACAATAAGTGAGCTAATGGGTCAGCTTAAACAAAGTTACAGATATCCTGAAAATAGCTAAGTAGGGATTAATGTCTGTTTGACTTTTAGGATTTACAAAATAAAACTGAAAAAATTGGAAAAAAAAAAAAAAAGTAAAGTCTTGGAAACTAAAAGATAGAGATATCTCAATGCATTAATGGT